AAACTAGTAGACTCTTTACATCTGAAAATTAGTACTTACAAATCATCATACATTCCATGCATTATTATACTATTTGTATATGAAAGGGCTGTATATTAAATGAGCCATTTAATATATTGAAAGCCAACTTTATTTTCTGTTGGTTCATCCTCTCAAAGGTCACCGATCAGATTTCTTTAGCAAGTTCAAATTGGCCTAACCTCCATGTAGATTGTTTTGGCAGCAGTAAAGAGTCTACTAGTTTTGGGGGGGATCAGCCATGGTCAGCTAGGTGTTACCATCCATAGCATTGATACAGCAAATGGTTCCAGTTCTTGGATCATCATATAAAAACAAATGGTTAAATATAGTTTACAGCCAGCCAATATATAAATGTTGTAGACATGCAACTCAATAAATAATAGGTTTATATACCCCAATTGCTAATCTACATAAATGGGTAATTTATTCATAACTTGCTAATATCACTGCAGACTATTGGATAGTAAAGGGGGAAGTATAAAGCATATAAAGTAATTCATAGTATGGAAAATGTGGATAGAGGGAAGTGTTGATCCTTTCCGCAGAGTCTCATCCATTGAACTTGAATACAAATAGTCCTCAACTTACTATATATATTATATAATTATATATTATGTAACACTTTTAATTAAGTGGGTACCTTGAATAAACCTAACTTTGAGTTTCAAATAACACTGATTTCGTTATTGTCTTGGGTGACATCTGTGAAAAAAATTCAGGTGCTCAGACATGAAAATGTGTCGCTCAAACACTATACTTTTCCGCACACATGAAAAAAAATTAGAGGGAACATTGGTTATAGTCCCACCTCAATACAGAAGATCAAGTACCTCACAAGATAGTTGTTGTGAGGGGAAATAACAAGCATAACACTGTGTAGGCCACAATTCCCACATGGAAGATGGGATATAAAAAATAGTTTATAAAAGTATGCAAAATAGTGCTATTCTGTGAGGCAAGGTGGATTATTTTGACATAGGAAGATTCTCCCCATTAAATGACCACCACTTCTTCTTCTGCAATGTGCAGGATTGGTCAGAGGGTTCAGCTTTGCTTTGAGATTTGGAAGCTGGAGGCTATTCTGTTTGGTCAAGGCCCCTTAAAGAGGTTGGTTATATGAGTGAAGCAAATGGCCATTTCAAAGATCCACACATGCCTATTGACACATTAAACAGATTCCATGGCTTTAAATAATAACATTGTATGTGGCACAATGTGGAGTTTAATTTAAGAAGCGTGTGAAATAATCATGATATTATTTAATATATTTTATACAATGCATTATAAAAAGTAGAGCACTAAAATTACAACAGAACCATTGCTTATTGGTACTTATGAAGCACAGTCATTTTTATTAAGAGCTGATAATAATGAGTATCCCATTCCAAATGTGGCAGAAAATCAGACCATCCTAAGATTAAATCCTTGGAAACAGCCATATCCAAGCATGAGGATGTTCCAAAACACATGTCCACCTGCCTCTGTCTGTATCCCAGTTTTCTTTTTGCAACCTGAGGACAAGTTAAGATAATATGATCTTCAATGGGGCTTTCTGTAATATCCATTTACAATACACTATGTGCCGACAGCTTAGAATCCCCTGATGTGCTTTGTGGAGGTGGTGTGGAATGGTGGCCTCTGGCTATTTTACTTGCCTAGAGTCCCTTCGGTTTTGGTGGCGTCCTGTGGGACTACAGGTAGTCTTCAACTTACAACCACAACTGAGCCCAAGATTTCTGTTGCTAAACAAGATAGTTAAGTGAGTTTTGTTGAGCTTTTATGACTTTTCTTGCCATAGTTAAGTGAAACAACCGTCATTAAGATACATCAGTTGTCAAGCATCTGAATTTTGATCATATGACCATAAGGATGCTGCAATGGTCATAAGTGTGAAAAATGATCACTTTTTTCAGTGCCACTGTAACTCTGAATGGTTGTTAAATGAAAAGTAAATCAAAACTACCTGTCGTGTCTTCAATAGTTCTATTCTTCTTTATCCTTCGCTTAGTTAGCTGGTATACGGGTAGTTTGCAGTCTTAGCAATCCTTTCTAATTTCACTGCATGTTTTAGCTTCCCAGCTACACATTCCTCCTTCTTGACCTTCCACTTTTTATATGTACCCCTTTGATTTTCCAGATTTTCATTAAATGGATCTGCTACTGTTGTCAATTTTTCCCATTATATTTCTGTAATTATGCTTTAACTAATCCTTTTTAAGGCTCTTTTCTCAGCAGCTTCTGCTATCATTATGTGTTTTCACTACTGTTCTGGGTTAACAAATGGTTGTGAAGAAAATAGGAAGAGGAAGATATTTTAGATATGTTTGCCACCTTGAATTATTTGTAAAAATAATAAAGGTTAGATATAAAGTTGCCTTGGGTCCAATGTGACTTCTTCAGAAAACATTCATTCCACCATCAATAAAGATATAGTCATAGAATCAAAGAAGGATGCTACCTAAATCTTTTGCTGATTGACTCTTTCTTTTTTATAATTGCAGATAAAGCACTCTGTTTGAATAGGACAAAATGATCAGTAAATAGAAAAAGTGTTTTTTTTAATAGGCAGCATCTTCTTTTGACAATAAAATATTTGTTTGGCTCAATTTATTTAAGATAAACAGGAAAATATTTGCTGTTTGCAAACATTTACTCTGAAGACTTTTATTATATTTTTCTGGATTTCCAATTAGGTGGTCATGGATAATATAAGATAAATCAAAAGTAAAGCTTTCAATGACATGCCTAAAAAACAAATAATTCTTTCTAATAATATTATTTTCCATTCTAGTATAAATTCTGATGTCTGTTGAATTTGATTCCTACATGTTCTGTGCCAAAAATCAATATGGGAACTATATAATTCACTAACTTGCTAGCAATGCAGAACAAACTGCTTCCTATGTCATAACTAGAGCTTATATGCATCTCTCATCACAGTCTTTTTCCAAAACACTACCCACAACCTCTATGTCCTTCTGAGCAGATTACTTTTGTAGACATGTAAAGCATCTTCATGACCAACTACAATAAAAATATAATGGATTTGTAATTGTCTTTTGTAGAAGCTCTTGGCAGAGAAAAGGGATAAAATGTCCAAGTAAATTAAAGTGAAAACTGTAGGAAGAGATATCATTCAGGGTTATCACGCTATGCCTTTCAGATAATAATTTTTTATGCTGAAAGAGTAATAATTCTCTTCTTGCAATTTATATGAAACCAAGTTCTCATCATTCATCAATATACAAGGGATATCCCACACATTAACAACAGGCTACTCCAAGATTTCAGGGCCACCATGTTCTACCACAGCCTTGGCAGTCAGAATGAGAGCAGAGTTCAGCCTGAGGCCACAGAGAAATCCAGAGCAATTTAGCTAAGTGAAATTTTCCTTCTCAACAGAACAATGATAACAATAGATGCAGTTCACATCTATGGTAGATCCAAAATAGATCCTTAAAGTGTAATTCTTGGGCTGTGTCTATTTTTCTCCCCCTTTTTAGAGTATCTATACAATGCTGTACTTCAATTTTTGGCTCTTTTGGAGTATTTCCCTCCCATTTAATTTGACTGTAAAAATCTTTCTTTAATGGAAAAAAAAAAGAGGGGGGGAACCCCAGATAAGCAATATCTACTCTTCCAAATGTTATAAGGAACATGGCCTTTATCTTCATAGTGGCTTTTAAAATTCTTTACCGTGTCCCATTTCCCATACCAGAGCTAGTTTTTAAAATCTAGGGAAAATGTTGTTTAAAGTCTGTTTTAATAAACTCAAAATATTAACCACCGAAGGCCCTGTGATCAGAATGCATAACATGAAGCCCCAGAGCTGCTTCAAATTCCAAAAACTTTAAATCTAACCTCCAGAAAGATGACACCAAATTGTAGTTTTCAGTAGAAAAGATGGGGGAGGGTAACATTCACAGGATGCAGTAATGTTAGATTAATTTAACTTAATTCATTTCTAAGTTTATTTTCATTTCTTTGTCAGAGTCCCATGCAGGTTTAGAACTTACTTTAAGAATGTTACTTCAAGGCCCACATGTATATCTTATGAGATGATCAGATAACTAAATCATTGCACTGAATGAACTGACCATCTGCTATTGAAAGAGTTTATTTGCAATGTATTTAATAAATCCTTTGTTTTCAGATTGACCATAAGAAATCTAATGCTATTGTTAATACTACTGTAGTGAAAGGAAGTGAGCCTTTAAAAATGATTAGCCATTTTTGTACAGGGATCACACTTCTCTAAAGCAAGAACTTATTTGAATCTTACTATGACGTTATCATTAAGTATTACTGGGCTTTATCGAAAGCTCATGTCATTTCCTGAATAAAATGGCAAGAAAATGTGGGTATCACCATTAAATCAAGTCATGTTGGTGGACTTTTGCAGTATAAAACATAACTGGGCAGTGGGTAAACCTGTATGCCAATGACTATCTTCCATTTTTGAAATTGATAAGATTATGATTTAGCTGTTTGTTAGATTTATATCTCCCCTCCAAAATTTTGTGGCAGTATGGGTAAGATTCCCACCTACAATTTTTCCTCCCAAGAATCCTGTGAGGTAGGCTGGGCTAAGAGATAGTGACCAGCCCAATCTCATCCAGCAAATTTCTGTGGCTGAGAGGAAATATGTATCATGGTTTACCCATTCTTATTCCAATAGCTTAAGTCAGTATTTCTCAATCTTAGCAACTTTTAAGTTCAGTGGGCTTTACTGGGGAATTCTGGGAAATGAATTTCACCCATGTTAAAATTGCCAAGGTTGAGAAAAATTGACTTAAGCGCCAGGCAACATTGGTTCTGTCAATAATGTTAACATGTCCTAAAGAACGTCTACAAATAATTTTAAAAATGATGCTACAGCTCTTTTCTTTCTTCTGTGTCCTTCTAAATATCTCCTTTGGGACTTTACCTCTTCAAATTTACAAAATGCATGTAAAAGAGGCTGAGGAATGTGCTATTAACTATCTCAGACAGGGTACTTGAGTAGTACAATTCATCTTTGAAAAATAGCCTGCAGATGCACTTTAATAGCTGTCAGTTCTAAGGATATTTTCATGCTTTTTAACATTATCCATAGTTTTTTCTAATTCAAAGCCCGAAGAAAATATTACCTAGAATCCCTGTCACCAATATTATTCTATCTCCAGGTGTTTAAAATATTTGTCAGTAAAAGTTCAAGGCTCAGCACTTGTACTACAGTACTGCTGCAATTACATTTAAAAAATGTAACTATTTAATTAAAATGAATTTACACATTTACTTCTCAATACATTTCTGATTGTCAGAGGTAGGGTTTTTTTTTTTTAGTTAATTTGACTCAAACTGAAAAGATCCAGCAAAACCACAGGATCCTAGACCAACAGTTCCCAACCTTTCTGGCTTTGCGGACCAACAGCAGCAGGGAGGGGGGACAGGGGATGGTTACATGTGAGTGGCAGGCGAGCGCATGTTCAGCTCCATTTGTGCAAGTGGCAGGTGTGCACCCATGCCAGACACACAAATGGAGTTTTGCGTGCACACATGCTCACCGGCTGCTTTCGCAAGTGGAGCTGCATGCACACACATACTTGCTTGCCTCTTGCGCTCCCTGGTTCTGAACAGGCTGAGACCTGATACTAGGTCGCGGCCATAAAGGTTGGGGATCCCTGTCCTAGACAATTGGACTTTTTAAAATCTCCCTGTAAGAGTTGGGGAGATGTTTGAAAAACTATCTAACACACAAAAGTGAAACATACAAACCTTATATGCACAAGCTTTTCTACGTTTACTGTCTTATACTATATTTTATTTATAATGTCTATTATTATTTATACTATGTAATGTTATCTTTACTATATTCTATTATTACACCATATACTATTACTTATTCTTCTATGCTATATTATACAATTTCTGCTACAAGCATGCTATTGCTACTAACTATGCTATTACTATTACTAGTATACAACAGTATTTTACCGATTATAGAACTTGGTCTGTCTTTCAATCTTCTGTCTCTGAGATTTCTTCTATTGGTATTTTCTTCTTTATTAATGGACACGTAAAGCATCGACACCTTTCCAACAGTATGTTTCACTTTGTTTTGCTTTGTCTCTTCTTTTTCTTCTTGATCCTTCCATTTTCATGAAAAGAAACCCCTTCCTATATTTGGCTGCTTTGGGGGGTTATGGTGGCTGATGCAGAGTTTGCAAAGCATGCTTGTCTCCTCCACTATCTCTTTCAAGATTGCAGATTTTATAAGCAGTTTTGCCCTGCTGATGCTGGGGAGAAGGATCAAATAGGAGGGTAGAAGGCAGCACAGGTACCTGCAATCTTGCTAGCTGCTTACTCTTCCACAGTGACAAACCATAGGATGGGGTTGGAAAATTACTGGCGAACATCTTGGCTGCTGATTTAAAATAGCAGGACTCAGTAGGAAATCCCAGAATTGCCTGGGAAATACCTTCTTTTATGTTGTGGCAAATCCTAAGGGAAGAAGAAAAAGAATCTCATAGATGTTCTGATAAGTCACTACCCTGTTTCCCCGAAAATACGACAGGGTCTTATTTTCTTTTTACCTACAAAATATGGCTTGGGCTTTATTATGGCGGGAGGGTTTATTGTTTTGGGGTTGCCGGGTGGCCGCTCTCTTGCTTGTTCGCTGCCGCCCAGCTCCCGTGACTTGGTGCCTTCCAAATGCCAGTGAATGGCGCTCTGCACGGCTGGAGAGGGGGGTTGCGCGAGCGGCTGTTCCGCTCTCGCTCACCCTCCTCTCAGCCTGACAATGCATGGCCCATCTCTCATTACGGAGCCAGGGCACCTCTGCTGCCGCCATCCCAGTCTGGCTATTTCCACGGCTTCCAACCCAAATCTTTCAGCAGTGGCCATTCTGGGCACATGCTCTATGGTTGTAGGCCAACTGCCTGCTCAGTGTACAACCATAGAGCATGCGCCAAGTGGCCACTGCCAAAAGACTTGGGTCGGAAGCTGTGGAAAAAGCCAGGCTGGGATGGTGGCGGCGGCAGCGGAGGTGCCTTGGCTGCGTAATGAGAGCTGGGCCATGCATCGTGAGGCTGGGAGGCGGGTGAGCGAGAGCAGAACAGCTGCTCGCGCAACCCCCCTCCAGCCATGGAGAGCGCCATTCACTAGCATTTTGAAGGCGCCAAGCCGCGGGAGCCAGGTGGCAGCGAACAGACGCTCACGGGGCTTGGCGATATCCCCAGGTCAGTGAATAGCACTGTGCCTGGCTGCAAAGGGGGTTTGCCGGGTGGCTACTCGTGAGCGTGGTTGCTTCATGGCTCTTGTGTTGTGCTGCTGCGACAGCGCAACACAGCCATTCGCCCATGAGGCTATGCCCAGCTCTTTGGGAGCCCGCTTGCAAGAAAGCAGCCGCCCAGCAATCCCCCTCTTCAGCTGACCACAGTGCTATTCACCAACCTAGCGGTATCCCGAAGGCGCCAAGCTACGTGATCACCTTTGCCTCCCCCCCAGGTTCCCGTGGCTTGGCACCTTCGGGATACTGCTAGGTTGGTGAGTGGCGCTCTGCCTGGCTGGAGGTGGGGGGTTGTCCAGGGGGCTAATATGTGGGGGTGGACTTATATTTTTGACGATCAGAAAAATGTGGCATGGCTGTATTATGAGGACATGTCGTATTTTCGGGAAAAAATGGTAGCTTAGATGATTCTGAAAAGAATTTGAAATAAAATGTTCAATACCAGTTTGTCATAAGGTTATTATTAATACACAATCAGAGCCAATTGGGCTTCTGGGCATTGGTTGCAAAAGAGCAAGAAATGGAAAGGATTACTGCTTTTATGTTTAGTTTATGGATTTTTGGAGTAACAACTAAATAATCTTATTGCCTTGATTCCTAAGTACAGCTATGATCTCAATCCTGATCCTCTAATCCAGGGGTATCAAACTGGAGATCTGCAGGCCAGATGCGTCATGCGCAGGCCATGCCCACCATAGCTCTGCAAAGGGAACAATGTCACTATACGTCACATGACGACAACATGATGCAGCGAGTTTGACACCCGTGCTTTAATCCTTAACTTCATTTATTTATCCATTCATTCATTCCACTTGTAAGGTCACCTATCTAATTTATTCTGCTAGTGTTAAAGTCAAGGGCCATTTCTCTGGACATCAATACAAATTATAATAGTTCCTAACATTTCTTCTCTAGCTCCCAATATTCCTAACCAGCATGGTCACAGTCACATCCTTCAACTCTTAAGTCCCTCAGTTTAAGACAAGAACAATGGAGATAGCCAAATCACCTTCAAGTTAGAAAAGAAGCAATCTCTACATTGTCACTATAGGAAGCTATAAGCCAATTCATTTGCTACTCATTATTGCTCCTTACTTTGTCTGGAAATCATGCTGATAGGAAGAAGATCAGCTATGCCTCAACAGAGTTTGAATAATTACAGACTACATTGAGTAATTTATGAGTATGCTGTTTGCTTTTGTAATATTCAAAAAAGCATTTCCAAACCAAAGGCCTGGAGCTCTTAAACCAACCATTTTGGTTCTTCATCCACTATTATAAGTTTTCCGCCCATTAATTTCTTTGAAAGCAATTTGAATTCTTGCCAAGAATCTGACAGGATTCAGCATGAGGCACTTTTGTTGTTTCTGGAAATCAGTTAATGAAATTCCCTCAGGACCCCAAAATGAAAAGGCGTATCTTTGACAGTTTAATTTCTGCTATACCCATTTTGGATTAGTTCATTGTGAAAGGATATTCTTCATTTTGAAATAAAATTGTTTTTTTTTCTTTCACTACTCCAGTGCTCAGCATTTCCTTTTCTTCCCTCCTTTCTTCCATACAAATTCTGATTTTTTTAAAAAATTCTCAGGAGCCAAATACAGTTTAGAATTTATTTGTTCTCTTTAGAGAACACTGGGACCAGAAAAGCGATTTATTGACGTTCTGGCATGGGTGTGTAGCAGTGGTGGGTTTCAAATTTTTTTTGAACCTACTCTGTGGGTGTGGCCTCCTTTGTGGGAGTGGTTTGCCAGCCATGTGACCTGGTGGGAGTGGCTTGCCAGCCATGTGTTCTCTCTCTCTCTCGCTCTCTCTCTCTCTCCTTCCTTTTGTCTCTCTGTCCCTTTTTCCTTTTTTTCTTTCATCTCTCTCT